CGCCTGCCCCGGAGGCGACCACATGGCGAGCCAGACCTCTCCTGACCCGCCCGCTGCTCCCCTCTGCAGTGTACTTCGTCCATCTGCCTGTTCTGCTCCCCACTCTGTCTCTGGTGAAGCCTCTCGCCGCCCCTGAGCCTCTGGCCTGTACCCCAGTTCTGTATGCATAAATAAATAAATCTTAAAAAAAAAAAAAAGAAAGTTAAGGTTGGAGTACATAAATGAAAGTAGGAAGTCTAATCACCTGCTTACATGTTACTGGCATATAATAGTAACAGTAATAGTATTTTTACTCTGTTAATTGAGAGAAATGAGTCTTATTTTCACACAAAGGACTATTAAAATCCATATATTAGATCATTTTGTATTTGTATAGAAGTGAATGCACACATAGTGAACTTATTTACTGTTAAAACACTTCAGATTGTAACGCTAACAAATTAATATTGTGTGCAAAGAGAAAAAATTGCTATTTCATCACCTCTCCTAACATTTTGTCCCTGTGAAGCATGTGACCTTATTAACATTTCTGTTTAAACACATGAAAATTTACTGAAGAGGAAACCTATAAAGGAACTGAAAATACATACTTGCTCTCTGCAAGTCCTGTCTACCCTTTGCCCCAACATCCCTGCCTCCACTTTATGCTCTGGTAACTCCTGCTGCACATCTTTTTTTTAAACATCTTTTAAGGTCGTATCTCAAATATTGCTGTAACTGAAAGTCTCCCCAGGAACTGCCTAACACTGGAGTTTTGGCTCTGCACCCACCACCCCATTGCAGAAACAACTTCAGGGCACTGATCAGCATTTGGTTATTTGAGGTACCTCCTCACACATACTTGACAATAAAGCTCAGAAGATGCTCAGGAATGAGCTTGTTTACTGTGTTCTAACCTTAGAACCTAGCTTAGGGTGGGATGTAAAGCTGCAGAGGGGTATTTAAATATATGTTGAATGAAGGGCCCAGGGTGATTTCATTGCATCACAGTTTCTTTCTCTTGGGTTTCAGTCCACACTAAGGATATTTCTCCTGGAAAACGGTGTAGATAAATGTGTGTGTGTGTGTGTGTGTGTGTGTGTGTGTTTGTAATTTCTAGGATCATGGCTCCCAGGTTTAGAAGCCCAGCACGAGACTTGTGCATATGACTTTACACTGTGAAGCTTCTATGTAAACAAGCATTTGGCTCTCGCTCCCAAAATATCCACTGGGACATGCACTTTTTTTACTAAAACACATGCAATCCTCAGACAGGATGGGACTACATTAGCATACAATGATATTAATGAATAAAAGTACATCAGTAAATAAATGCCAAAGGAGTTATCTCCCACAGTCTTTTCTTTTCCAGGGGATTTTTCCTTACTTATTATAGCACATCAATAGATTACTCCCCAATGGAATAGCAAAACCTGACCTCAAATTTGCGTCCGTGCTATCATATGGGAAATGTGGTCACTTTCAGTGTGATGGCTTTGAAACAGAATTGTCCTTTGGCAACTCAGTAATAGGTTTACGCTTGTTTGTACAGCAGTTACTATCCTGCTCTACCTTGACTATGAAATCATTGAGAGCAAGGGCTATTTCTTAGTCCCTAGAAATAGACTTTTCATCAAGGGATACCTAAAAATTATTTCTGACCAACTGACAGACCAAAACACATTCCTTGCATGGAGCGGTGTATCATTACTATACTCAGCTGTTTTGTGCAAGCTATTTCCTTATACATTACAGTAGAAATGCCAGGGATTCTGACTGAATAGTCAGGCAAATTCAACGTCTAGGGGGAAACTGCACTGTTATGCAATAACAGCATGAATGAAGCTTCCCTCAGAGGCGGCGTCCACCATAAACCTCATAGACTTAAGGTTCTCTTCTTAATGTGTCTGTCCAATATAATTTCTTTATGGCCTGTCTTATTATTTTTGACAAGGATATTTACTAAATAAAAAAAGTAATCACAAAACTTATAGCTGTCTTTCTAACCAAATTCTATCATTCATTAAACTGATTATGGGTGTATTACCTCAATGCTGAATTCTCCATTTTTAAAGGAAGATTAGGAAAACAAGTATTTCTTGAAAATTGAATTTTATTTTTAACCAGTGACTTTCTTGTTTATAGAGGCACAAGAAAGGAAATGCTCATATATAAATTTAAGCTATTAATGTTCATCTTTATCCAGTAAACAACTAGTTTAGACTGTCCCAGAAGGTAAGGCATAAAGACAGAAATACACATTAAAATGCTAATACATTTAAGAATATGGTTTAAACTGTTTAGACTTAAACTGTTCCATGAATAACAACACAAATAACCTTCTAACAGGATGCTTCATATTAATTATTTCATTTAACCCTCCTAATCTACTATCAAGCAGTTATCAGACCTAACTGCTTTCTATACCCCAGTTTGACCAGCTCATTGGGTGCTGTTTGCAATGTACACCTGCACCCATATCTGCCCAGCAGTCACCTAACTTTTCTCAAATTTCATTCCAAGACTCATTATTTGATGAAACCTTTCCAGAACCTTTTCCTCTCCTATGACTCCTCTGGAGTCAATCCCAGGGTCTTTAGGACAAATCTACTTACAATTGAATTGTTGGAGATTTGCTTCCAGTTTTAAATAAAAGTGTATTTTAAAAAAGTGCGATAACATCTTGATCATCAACAAACACTAAAATAACAAGTGACTGCTTTTATTCCCATGTAGTTAAGGGATAAAGTAGGCAGAAACTCCAGGTCTCCATTGTGGCATGCAGAGTGAAAGGCAGAACTCTGTTTTTGGAAAACAAAACTTCTGCTGCTGAGGCCACGTACATACAGTCTACATTATTCTCTAAGAGGATACATTTTCCTTTTTGCCCATTTTCTTTCATGGGAGCATGGGGCTCCACTGTGTGGCCAGATGTCTTGCCCTTTATGAGGTAGCCAGAAGTATTCTGTGAATACTCCCATCTGTCCAGCACAGGTGCTCCATTTTGTCAACAAGGTGAGATTCACAAAATCACTGGCCTGATGACCAAAACTTAAATGCTGATAGCAAAATTAAACCTAACAATTGTCAATGTATTAACATTAAAGCAGATATTTCTTGGTCCAAATGACTGTTCAGACATTCAGACTTAGCCAATGGAGCACGAAATAAAAGCCCCGTAAAGCACAACCTGGTTTCCTATCAGTAAACCTACAGATGATTGCTTACCTGTCCTTTGCTTTTTTAAATTACTTACACTTCTAACCATTTGAAATTATTGCTTCTCTTGCCAAGTTAAGATAAAATTCCAGAATTCATTGTATTTCCCTATTTTTCTCTATATCCCCTACAGTTGTTCATAATATGTCAGAACTCTATTTGTCTGTTTTTTTTAATCAAAGGATAGGCCTCTTAGATCTTAGATTGCAGGTCTCATATTTTCTGTCACAAAATTTAAATACTACTACTATAAATATGTACAGGAACTAAAGAGCTCACTTTTGCTCATTCACAGGGCTCTTGTTCAGAAAAAAACACATTATCATAGTAGTAAAATTTGAAAAATTATTTTTGAGAAACTGATTTTACAAGTAAGGGAACTGTCACATTGCATGACTTTCAAAGTGGATGAAAATATTAAAAAAAAAACATGCAAGCAAAGGCATTTGCTAGACGACTTCTAAAAATATGTTTTTCTTTTTTACAGATTCTGAATGATTTGGTCACTGTTTTAAACAGTACTGGTGTTGTATGAAATTCCAGTTAATGTTTCCTAACATTTGTGCACATCAACTTTTAGAGCCCAAAGCAGCTGTCCAAGCAGCAATCAACTGTAAAAACTCAAAAGGTCTTAAAAACTACTTAAACAATCCCCTCAAAGACACACCTCAAATGGCTGTTTTGTGTTCTGTGATGTTAACTCTCCTTAAAACTTCTTCAAGGTTAAGTCTGACTGGGAAACCAAAACCCCATCAGACATGAAGAATGAATCTGAACCATGATAAGATTCCAACACAAGGTCAAAGACAAAAGTTACTTTTCCTAACATGATCTACTATGTGGCATTTGCTTAGGCCTTCTGTCCAGCAGCTACCTTAACCACTGGGTAGATATTTTTGAATAAATATATCTACTCTCTCTCACATGAGAACTTTCTGCCTTCATTGTTGAAAACACCAGCTAAGAGGCCACTATATAAAAAAACAGCTGTGACTCAAATTAACTCTGCTTTACGGTATTAAGATATTTAAGGGGCAGAAGCTGAAACATCTCATAATTTAGAGAAGATTCTTGGGTAAAGTCCAGAGTCAAGAGACCACAAAGGTTTAAACAAGACTGACCGTGCAAAATTTTGAGTGGGTCATCACAGTTATAACAAATAACATTAAAAAAATCAATGGCCAATAGGTCCCACGGGTAGGAGTTACCTTATTAATCATGTTTAACCTTCTTAAGGCTTTATGAGCTTAAGAGTCTACATTTATTAAACAGTGCTAAATATATAACTGTTTTCTCATCTAATAATCCATATTATCAAAATACATGATAATGCTTTACCAAATGATTTCTAGATGTCATAGTCTTAACATTATACCCTGGTAAAATACCCCTTGAGTATTTAAATTCTATCATGTACAATCCTAATTATAGTTGTGTTGTTTTAACTTTATTATTCACTACAATTTCTATAATATTCTAATATATATTTCAAGGAAATATTTTCTTCATTATTGTTTAGGATCACATCTGATAAGTGACCTCAAATGTCCTCTTTAGAGGCTTAAAGACAAAGAACACTTGGCAAATGTCTGCATATTTTGAAATGACATCTCAGGGAGCACAGAAAAAAAATTTGTTTTGTCGCAAAGGAGAGAAGGGGAGCTGGGTAGTAGGTAAGGATGAAAAGTCTTCAGGGTTGTTAACAGTTTAGAATATGGGTCCTTCCTACCTCTCCCTGCCTCCCAGCCCATGGAAACAATGAAGATGCTGGTGAGATATGAGTACACAGAGTCTGACCATACCTTCATGGGTAGGCTCTGGGTCAGGTGTAAGTGAGATGTCATCCAGCTCTCGCAGGCAGAGCCATTCTCCATCCATAGACACTCGGAATTTGCAAAGGTAGATGGTCTCCATGGCAGCCTGTGTGATCTTGTCAGTGGTGGGGGTTGGCATATCGGTCGGAGGCGTCAGAGCAGACATGATGACTCAGCTGGGACCACAACACACACACACACACACACACACACACACACACACACACACACACGGAAAAAAAAATAAATAAAAACTCCTCACCAAACCCCCCAAATCCAAAGCTCTGGAACAAAGCTTTTAAAAAAAGGGGTAAGGGAGGTTAATAAAAAAAAACCACAAGAACCAACTGTTTAAGATAAACAATTCTATACTATCTTTTCTCATAGGCAGTTCCTACCACTTAGCAAAATAAGATGATTGTCTTCTTCCAGTTTCTTCTTCTTTTAGCTTCCCTTCCCTACCTCCTTCTTTTCCAGCTGATCTATAGGCTTGAAATCCTGCACAGCCTATGCCACCATAGCTGGATTTAAAAAACTGGCCTCTGCATGAATAAGTGAAAAATCCTCCTTCTTTGTGCAGGGGAAAAAAAAAAAAAAAGAGGGAAAAAAACTGAAAAAGAAATAAGCCTATATTTTCAATATTTTCAATTTAGTCTAAAAAAATCCTTAACTGCAGAAATCACTTCCAGGATCTGCTCAGAGGAGCCGGGATGCTGAGTTCTAATAGGATTGGTTGTGCGCAGTAAGCAGGGTGTTGACCAAAATGGCTGACTAATGAACTGAACTGAAAATTCAGGCTCATGTGACCAGCTGCTCTGAACGTAGGGCGAGCAATTCCCAGGATGCTTTTATAGATGCTGCTGATGCAGGAAGAGCAATTAGGCTGTTCACTCTCATCCTGTACAGCCCACTTCCAGACTGTGCTAGTCAAACTGTGATCAGACATAACACAATGCACATATCCTCACCAATTCCCCTTCCTTGGGAAAAGGAGGGCTGGAGTACAGGAGGGCAATAATACTAGGAAATGCTTCACAGCAAAGATGGTAAAGACAGGCAATTATATTAACTTAATGAGCACAAGTCAACTTTTTCTTTTATCCTTATACACTTGGCTATTAAAAAATTCCTTACTCTGCTAAAGGTGGTGTTTTGAGAAAAGGTAAAGCAGATTTTCAGTTTTTAAGTATTATACTCTAGGCATTTATAATTTCTTTCTCCATGGACAAAGACCTGACTTTTTATTCTGCACAGAAATGCAACAACAACAAAAATAGTTAAAAAAGAAAAATCCTTCCTGGTTAGGGACAATTTCCCCTCTTACTGACGTTTCTGGCTGTTGTCTGTCAGGTTTCTGCAGCAGGCATGGACTATTCTAATTAGAAGATAGAACTGTGCTGAATTTGAAAAATTCAGAAGGGCACTTGTCATACTCTCCCAAACCGACTCACTTACACCTAAAGCATATCTGTACTACCCATCTAGAGCATTTATACCAGGGTAGCAGAAATATTAAGCATTTGCTCTCTGAGCTAAATAACAAAGAGATAAGGGATGACAGGGATTTTTTTTTGTGTGTGTGAAAATGTTTTAGATGACTGAATACAAATATTTTTTCCTATTTAAGGGGAAAAACTAAGGTTTAAGGAGGAATATACGACTTTGAAAAATAATCTCAAAATGATTATTGCATTCTAGGATTTCTTTTCAGAGTGATACCTTGATATTATTAACTTCTAAAAACTAAAAGAAATTTTTCTTGAAAATCATTAAGCATGCCTTCTTAATTTGAGACTGAACTCACAGAAACATCAAGAGCCAGATTTCATAAGAAAACAGGCATTTTCGTATTGTTAGAAGGCAAAGTGATGCAGTGTAAAGATGCATTTACACACACACACACACACACACCACACATGACACAACACCACACATGACACGACACACGACACGCGTATTTATAATTGGGGGAAATCAGCAAGTTACTAAGGAGAATAAATCATAGAGGTTGATGCATCTGTGGTTAAATCTCTTCCAAAATAATCTTATATCTGGATGCAGAGCTATTCATACATTCCTTCCTTCCTTCATCTGTTCTTTCGTTCATTTTCTGAGAGCAAGCATGGGGCATGCCAGTCATCCAGCATGCAGCAGGAAGAGGATCATTTCAAAAAATAATAAGCAGTCATTACAATTTTAAGTCAAACTTAGAATCAGTGTAGCAAGTAGCCCTACTTATCTGCACAGAAGACATCAAAACTCTAGGCCACTGAGACATTCGAAAAATACAGAGCAGTTAATATATAAATAAACCCAAATGCTCAAGAATTCACCCATACCAGAGTTTAGTCTGTCACAAACCATGACAAACATCTTTCATCAACCACCCAATAAGCATTTAGCAATCCTGGACTGGAGCTCTGGACTGATCACAACATACCGGTACAACAACAACAGGCAGGTTTTAATAAATGAAGAAACTTGGTTAACATTTGTTCTAAGACTCCTTATCTCTAGAAAGGAGACAGGAAAATGAATCCCTTCCTCTCCAGTCAGAGAACACAAAGAGTAAAGCCAGAAACTACTAAATTTTTTTCCAAAGAATGAAAAGTTCACCATGCACTGGCTCTTTTGAGTTTCCCATTGGTCTCAGCTTGAGGAGGTGTTAGCAGTCATTTCAGAAATCGTAGGTGGATAGGAATACCTGTACTTCCACTAAGTTATACTTGTTTGCAGATAAACACTCTAGAGTCTTTAGCATGAAAAGAGTATGTAATGTTCATAAGAAAAGAATTTACTCTAATAAGAAGCACTATTTGTGGAAACTAGCAAAAATAATTCCAAATATTGATAGTAGTATCTCTGTTATTGGGTTTTTACTAAATAAACACACTAGCTTTGATACTAGGAAATATTAAGGCATTAGGAAGACATCCAAACCTTGAACTTTTTAAATTCTTTGTCCCCCCTCGCAAACTAATTATAAGCTGTATTGAATATTTTCTCACTTCATCCTACATGCTAATAACGGCACATATTTTTAAGAAGGTTGTGGCCCTAAAACAGAATTAATAGATCTATGCGAAGCTCAAGTCCAAGATGATGATCTGAATTGCAGTAGTTTTAGTGGTTTATACCATCTGAATTTTCCACTTTATGACTGATCCAAAACAAACAAGATTCACAGTTCTACTTCAGAAGTCACATTCCTCATAAAACATATTTGTATTCAGCTGTTACTATTAGAAAGACAAAGGCTAATTTGTTATCATCAACATCCCTGTTACACATGTGGAAAATTATCCTTTTAGAGTTATCACTTACTGATTTTCTATATACTGTCAGGTGCTTCATTAATGCCGTATCAAATTCTCACAAGAATCCTGTAAAGAGATACTGATATCTCCTTTTCCATAAAAAGAAAGCAGAGGGGACCAGTGTTACTGCCTGAAATCACACAAATAGCAAGTGGCAGATCTGGAATTCCAAATTGTTTCTGGTTTAGATGCTCCCAAATGCCCGTGGTTTTCTTCTATATTCTGTAACTTCAGCACTCTAACCCAAAGATTAAAATTTTACTTATGGAAAATACAAGGAAACAAAAATAACAGATAAGGTCTTCATGAACTTTCCTAAATATGAAATTCAACAGATCTAAGATGTGAAGAGGAAATCTTCACAAACCGTATCTTCCTTCTAGTCAGTTTGATTTTACATTTAGTTAACATTTTTAGTAGTGGGCATTATCTGAGAAGCTGGGAAAGTAGCGTGGATATTTCCTGCAGTGTGTGGACAAAAGGAATACCCAATCATCCTGACCACCTGAAGGACCCTGCCACTTGGCTACACTACCAACTGAAAAACCTTACAAAGTTCCTTCCACATTTATGCACTCAACTGGATGTATTAAGAATACTTGATATATCTGGAAGTGAAAAGATAAAGGATGGGGGGATTATTTTCTAGAATATCATTTCAGGATTTTTTTTTCATAGCAAACTTCAATGTATAATTTTGATTCTTAAAAAATATAACCAATAGGCCCTCCCTGGTGGTGCAATGGGTTAAAATGCAACGGGCTAAAGTGCAGCACTGCAAGCTGTAAGCAGCAGCAGCTTCAGTGCAAGTTCAATTCTGGGCCCCGGAAGTAACCCACAAAGCACAGCAGATGGCTCTTGACCCACCCACTGTTTCCCTCAGCAGTGTACTTCCTCGATCTGCCTGTCCTGCTCCCGACTCTGTCTCTGGTGAATCCTCTTACTGCCCCTGCACCTCTGGCCTGCACCCCAGTTCTGTATGCATAAATAATCTTTAAAAAATGTATAACTAATATCCACAAAGTCACTGCACACCTACAGAAATGGACCTCCAACTTATATTCATGAGCTTCTTCTCACTTCTGAATTCTTGCCTCCCCTTTGAAGGAAACTTCTGAGTTTTGTGTAAATCTTTACCACATTTAAAAAATGCTGTTATAAACATAGATGCCTAAACAATATAGTCACTCCAGCTTTTTCAACCTCAAAGAAAGGGTTTTATACCATATATAATCATTTTAAGACTTTAAAAAAAGATTTATCTACTTATGCACACAAGAACTGGGGTACAGACCAGAGATGGTGGGGTGAGAGTTCACCAGAGACAGAATGGGGAGCAGAACAGGCAGATCGACTGAAATACGCTGCTGAGGGGAGCAGCAGGCAAGACAGGAGCGGTCTGCTGTGCTATGTGGGCCAGCTCTTTGGCAGGAGGATGGAATTTGTGGTGTGGTGGCTTCGGATAGCTTCATAGTGCTGAGCTTTAATAACCCTGCGCCACCAGGGAGGCCCTACCTTTTAGGACTTTTATTGAACATTTTCTAAAGCTCATCTTTATTGTAGCATGTAACTACAGTTTATCCCTGTTGTTGCTATACCAGGATGTATTATTCCATTGTATTAAAAATAATTTCCTGATTCATTTTTATGCTGGTAAGCATAACAATACTGTTTCAGAACTAAATGAAATAATGTAAGCAAATAGTCAACATGCTCCCTGGCACAAAGTAACCTATCAGAAAACAGCAGTCATTATCATCATTATAGTAAGTGCTCTTGCTTTTTGGAGTTCTGGAAAAAAAAAAAAAAAAACCCTATTAGGACATGAACTGAAATTCAGTAAGATGAATGCTCATGGGAGGCAGAGGACAGTAAAAAGGAAATCTGAGCAAAGGGTAGGCTGGGACATTTCTTAGATCATGAGGAAGGATAAACAAAGATGACCCAGAATTTTACTAAGCATCCCTATTAGATGACTAGATTTTCAACTTCAGAAAAGGCAGTGAGTGAAAGCAGATGAATGTGGAAAGTCCCTGTACAGATTCTAAAGTAAGAGAATGATCGTGTAAAGGGAAACAGGATAAAATAACTTCTGTTTTTTAAATACATCTTGCTGTCGGTGTGCCAGTCTCTCCTCTTCTGTGGACTATGAGGTTGCAAACTCCCTCTGACACATGCTGCCCTGTCCATTTGGTATGGAACAAGTCTAGAGTCAATCACTAAGATGGACTTTGCAGGGAGGAATATCATCTTGGCCACTAGTCTGTGTGGGTAAAACTTTGAAAGACAATGAACTTCAGCTACAGATGTCATACAGGACATGATTCTATCAAGACTTACTCTCTTGGACACCATTACTTTGTAACTCTAGAGGCATTTCTTTTCATATAATTTCATGTAAGTTTGAGTCAATTCTTCAATTCTTCTGGTGCTCTACTCACTTACCCAAATTTTAAGGAGTTAGAGGTTTAGGAATTAGAGGTTTGCTGCT